TCGATGAGACGGTTCTAATGATCGTATTTCCATCGAAATGTAATCATTAGGTCGAAAGTTATTTCATTTAACAATACTCAATCAAATGTTAGAATATTGTTCTTGTGACACCGAATGCTATATTATTTTTTGGTTTGCATACAAGAAGATAAGAGGAGTTAGTGGCATGCATCAAACAGAACAATAATAATAATTGACTCATGTAACAATTCAGAGAAAATATGCATAATCCTTTACTTACGATTCAGACTAATTTATTTAGCATAAGCCTTATAATATATGATATTTTTGGTAAATGAACTAAGTCCTATTGCAATACTTCTCAGTTGATAATCACAAATTAAGCTGATCAAAACCAAAGGGTTTTCTCTTTAAGTTGATAATTTAACCAAAAAGACTTAATTTGCGTTAACTTATTGATTTAGATAAAATACTCATGTTGAAATGCTTTACCCTTAAATGTCTATAAATTGTGATACTATTATAATTTCTGAAGATCTAAGATTAAAAAGATTAGTCAGGATATAAAGCTTGATCGAAGTTGAACAAGTTGATCAAATCAAGATCAATTTCTACTTTCAAACATTGTGATGTAGGGGGGGCTGTGAGAAGCATTTGTCATAACTGATATTTTGATCAAAAATACACTTTCGTGTTTAGTTACTGATCAAGTTACCCAAATTTTTCTGTCAATATAGAAATTTTACATATTGTAATTATTATATTGATAAACATTTTTTATTACCATGGAATGCATAAAGTTTTCCCTTTCAGAAATTTTAAACATTGTTTATACGGAAAATTTATCCGATCAGTTTAATTTTGATCGTGTATGAAGCATTTTTATCCAACAAGTCAAATTTAAAGTTGGTTAATAAACCAATTGATCAGATTGATAAGTTCATTTATAGTGAGGTGAACAAGAACAAACATTTGATTGATTTTCCTACTATTAAAAATTATCATATTTATATTTCTTTATTTGTTTAAAATATAAACGTATATATTTTATTAATTTTATTGGATAAGCAAATTTTCTAATTTATTTATAAATGCAAAAAATTTTTTTTCAAAATTCTTTTTGTAAAAAACAAAAAACAAAAAAAAAATACGAAACAATACTAAGTTTACAAACAAAATATAAAATACAAATACAGACAATTTCTATGAAGAATTTTTTGAAGTTAATAATATTACTTTTGAAGAATTATTTAGGCTATATAATTTATATGTACATATAACATACAACCAAGCGGAAGTCCTTAAAGAACATGTATCATCATTCAACAGATTATCAAAGAGCATTAAAAAGTATTCAACAGCATCTTCTGAAATTATGTCAACTATTGTATCAATTATTTCTGCAATAGCATTCATAATAGCATCTACAACAATAGAAACAACAGCAATAATAGCAGCAGCAGCAGCAATAGCAGTAGTAATAACAGTAGTAACAACAGCAGCAACATCAGCAGCATTAACAGAAGCAACAATAATAACAACACCAACAATAATACCAATACCAATACCAACACCAACACTAATACCAATACCAATACCAACACTAACACTTATACCAACACTAACAATAACAATAATAATACCAACACCAACACTACCACTACCATCACAACCACAACCACAACCACAACCATTACACCTACCATTACAATATTTTACATCAAATAACGTATCATTATCAACTAATGATAATTGGTTGATTCCAACTGGATCATATACATCACCCTGTTTTTTATGTTCATATTTTGGGCATAAAGCAAATAATTGTCCAAATTTAATTGATAATTATTTAATGAAATGTTTTAAATGTTGGAATCCTAGACATTCAGTAGGAGAATGCATATTGTATAAAGCCAAAACACCATTTAAAGAGGAATACATACCATCAGGAGAATTTCTTCAAAAATTTATAAAGAAAGAATAACCTTTTTTTATTTTTTTTATTTTAATTTGAAGGAAAATTTTTATAATAATAATGATGCTAGGTGGCTTTTTTTTTTAATAATAATGGGTGTCAGGTGGCTTTTTTTTTTTTTTTAATAATAATGATGCCAGGTGGCTTTTTTTTTTAATTATTAATGATGCCAGTGACTTTTTTTTTTAATAATAATGGATTTTATTTTTTATCAATAGTGTCAGGTGGCAGGTTTTTTTTTAATAATAATGGTAATGTCAGGTAGCTTTTTTTTAATTATAATGATGCCGGGTGGCAGGTTTTTTTATTAGTGCTAATGTAGCATTTTTATTTTTTTTTTAAAAAAAAATTTATAATGGTAGTTTTATTCTGGTGGCCTTTTTTTTTAAAAAAAAATGATTCTAGATAGCTTTTTTTATGATTTTTAGGTGGCATTTTTGAATTATAATAATTATCAATCGTAAATTTTTTTTAATCAATTTTAATAAAAGAAAATAACAAAAATGTATTGTATTTATATTAAATTTAATGTTAATTGTTAATCTTAATCATGCGTAGGAGTGATTAGCTAAGATTAAATATTTAAATTTAGATTTCTTTTTTATATGCAAGTAAAATTTAATAATTTATAGTTGCCAAGAAGATCACGTTAAAATTCAAGAGTTAAGCTATTCAGAGGAACAAATCCAGAGCATGTACTTAGTTTATTACATGCTAATAATTTGAAAGAAATCTCTTCTTTTATATTGTTATTATTTCATGTGATATAAATATAAAAATAAAATAAAAAATTTTTACGTAATCAAAATATTTTATTATAAATTAAACTTTATTAAAATAATATAATAATATAATAATATACAAAGCAGTTTACATTCTCTCTCTATCTAAAATATATTTGTTATTACCTATGTTAAAAA